TGTCTTTTCAGTCGCATTTCTTAAACTGGGCTGAGCAAGAAGATCAAAGTGTATGTAAACACTAAAACAAACATTTTATATATTGCAGCATACCAGTTCTTATATGCTGTATTCATTTTCTTTTCCAGGCTTTAATTTTCTTTGTCACCTGGTGATCCTGCCAGTAACACAATTCCTGTCTTAGGAGAACAATGCTCACTCACCAAATAGTCCACAGAAATTGCTGGGAATACTGTAACTTATAGCACATAGCAAAACAAAGTGTAAGTTTACTGGATTTCTGGGAGAATCAACAGGCATTTTTAAAAACAGGGGGTTGTTAATCAGTTTCAGCTACTTTGGTATTAATGAAATTAACAACAAGTGCACTAGATGGGCAACAGTGAGACAACCCCCAAAACAGGAATACAGGTGGAGACCACCGACATTTTTTTCCCTACTCATCTTTTCTGACTGTTTTTCACTAGTTTTGCATTTGGCTAGGATGAGTGTCACTACTGGTAGCATGATGCGATGCCTGGACTCTACAGAGGTTGCACAGGCAGTCCAACTCTTCCAGGGATAGCACATCAATGCTTGCCATTGCCAGAAGGTTTGCTGTGACTCCCACGAGCATGGAGGAGATTCCAGGAGACAGGCCGTTACTCTAGGAGAGCTGGACAGGGCCGTAGAAGGTCCTTAACCCATCAGCAGGACTGGTATCTGCTCCTTTGTGCAAGGAGGAACAGGATGAGCACTGCCAGAGCCCTACACAATTACCTCCAGCAGGCCACTGGTGTGAATGTCTCTGACCAAACAATCAGAAACAGACTTCGTGAGGGTGGCCTGAGGGCCCGACGTCCTCTAGTGGGCCCTGTTCTCACTGCCGAGCACCATAAAGCTGGATTGGGATTTACCATTGAACACCAGAATTGGCAGGTCCACCACTGGCACCCTGTGCTTTTCACATATGAGAGCAGGTTCACCATGAGCACATGTGACAGACGTGAAAGGATCTGGAGAAGCCATGGAGAACATTATGCTGCCTGTTACATTTTTCAGCATGACCGTTTTGGTGGTGGGCGAGTGATGGTCTAGGGAGGCATATCCATGGAGGGACGCTCAGACCCTTAACAGGCTAGACAATGGAACTCTGACTGCTATTAGGTATCAAGATGAAATCCTTGGACCCATTGTCAGACTCTATGCTGGTGCAGTGGGTCCTGAGTTCCTCCTGGTGCACGACAATGCACGACTCATGTGGCAACAGTATGCAGGCAATTCCTGGAGGATGAAGGAATTGATACCACTGAATTGACCCCACGCTTGCCTGACCTAAATCCAATAGAACACCTCTGGGATATCATGTTTCGGTCCATCCGACGCGGCCAGGTTGCACCTCAGACTGTCCAGGAGCTCAGTGATGCCCTGGTTCAGATCCGGGAGGAAATACCCCAGGACACCATCCGTTGTTGTCAGGCATGCATACAAACTACTGATTGATTACCATTTTGAGTTGCTGCAATGGCATTTCTGCAAAATGGACTAGCCTACCGCATAATTTTTTTCCATTTAGATTTTCGGGGTGCCTTTGAATTCAGTCCTCTGTAGGTTGATCATTTTAATTTCTATCAAACGACGGGGCATTCTTACATTCCTAACAAATTACCTAGTCCATATCAGTATAGATATCCAGCATGATATTTTTTCCCATTGAGATCTGATGTGTTTTCAAAATGTTCCTTTAATTTTTTTTTAGCAGTGTATATTGGAATTTACACAGCTTTTACTTTCTGACTGCCCATCACATTTTGTGAGGTGCTAAAATGCCAGGGCAGTACAAAATCCCCCAAATGGTTCTTTTTTGGACAGCAGATACCCCAAGGAATTTTCTGATAGGCATGTTGAGTCCATGGAACATTTTATTTTTGCCACAAGTATTTGGAAAATTACAATTATTTATTTATTTACACAAAGTTGTGAGTTAAAGGATATATTGCTCACACATGCCATGGGTATATGTGATATAACACCCCAAAACACATTCTGCTGCTGCAGCCTTATCTACCCTACATGCCAGTGGTTGCAGGTCCTCTGTTGTCATCAAGTATAATGCAAGGCATTCCACAAGCCCTGCACTGGACATTGGGATGCCTGCTAAAATGTGGGAAGCATAGGAGAGTACTAGGAAAGCGGGGAGACAGGGTACGTAAAATTGCTCTTTGCAGTACCTCAGACCTGAGCGAGCATTTAACCCTGGCAATGTATGGGGCCCCACTACAAGGGTGGATTTTCTATTTCCTGAAAATAGGCATCAACAAACCAAAAGGAGCAAATAACAGAAGCTCATGGTTAGCAATTACATTCACTTTCATTAGCCAATTATAGCTAAAGCTTTAATCTCTTGCTTTTGGGGATTTAACCATTTGCTAACAGTCACCTATATAGGCTAGAGCTAGACATAAGATTTTTGGTAGCTCAAACCTACTAATAAAATCACTAGTGATTAATTGCTAGCAACTGTTTGCTAAACAAATGATTTCCCATGGGCAGTTTATCCTGCTGCCCTCCTGAATGTGTGCTTTTTTTTTTTTTTTTTTAATCCCAAGGGGGATTCTGTGTTAACACATTGCAACATGCTCTCATTTATGTAGGTGGCTGAGGAACAATTAAATCCCGGCTAGTCCATCTGTTTTTACCGCCCCCTCGGCTGCCTATGTGAAACAACCCCTAAGTAAAAAACAACATAATTTAAATATAGTAGCATCTTGTAGTGATCAATCACAGATGACTGGATTATTGTGTGATCATGCAAAATTAATTTGCCACTATATGTTTGCGAACTATCACTAAAGTGGTATTTTAGTAGCAGAATTGAGCTACTAAAACATTTCTATGTAGCTTTAATCTTTTCAGATGACTACCAGTAAGAGGTTAAAGTGTTATAGAGTCACAGAATCAGGATGGTGTGATTTGAGATTATACCGATGCCCATTCCAAAAACTCATTTATTAAAAAAGAGAAAGTGTAATGGGTGGCAGGAATTTTAACGGCATCGTATCAAAAACAACTCTTTAGAATTAAAAAAAAACAAAACTTTATTATTCCAAATTAAAACCCATTTACACAGGCCTTGAAATGTTACACCTCACATATTGGATAGTACAGAAAGTATCATAGATACATATAGAGTGCGTAAAGCAAACAATCACTCTTAAGCACCAGAAATGGTGAGTCAATGCTCTTTATAAAGAAAATATCATGCCCACATACCCGACGCCTTTCGAGTCTTGCTCCTCTTCTTCTGCAGGGACAATCCAATGGACATAGTTAGATGGTAAGCGAATAATACAACGGATATGAGAGAAGGTAGCCTGTGATCATACTTGAAAAACACCATACACCATATATCCTCAATCTGGTATGAGAGGAAGGCAGGCCAATAGGCAAACGCAGAGATCCCAAGGGTGCTTAAACAAGATATCCAAGAAGCCTTTTCAGTGGCACGGCCAAACCCCCAATGGAGCCAGCGTGTCACTGGCCTTCCTTCCTCTCCCTTTAGGATGCATGGTGTATGATGTTTTTAAATTATGACCACAGGCTACCTCCTCTCATATCCTTTGTATTATTTGCTTATCATTTTACTTTTTCTGTTGAATTGCCCCTGAAGAAAAGTAAGTCTTGAAACACGCCGAGTATGTGGCCATGATATTTTTATAAAGAGTATTGGCACGCCATTTTTGGTGCTTAAAGTGGAACTACACAATATCTGAGCACTACAATCCAAAAGCGCCATTTAAATAATTTCTAATATTCAAAGCAAACTCCCCCATCCATCCATGTCTCCACGCTTTATGTTGCTGAGAAATCACTTACAAAAAAACACCCCCTAGCATTTCTGGCAGTGGCCATCTTAAGTAAGGGCAGATAATTCATGTAGCATTTACTTCCTGTAATCCATCTGTCCTTAGTTCAGCAGCATGCAGACAAGAGGGTGTGCTTGACTGAGAAAGCCCCTCCTCCCCTCCTGAAGACTTCTGGGATGTATGACATTATTTGCCTAGACATGGGAACTAGAAAGTAACTAAAGAAATGTAAAAAAAAACTGTTTAAAAGAAGTAGATAGGATATATAAACTAACAGAGGAACCGTGGCTGCTGGTTAAAGGTAAGAACGCACTCGTGGAGCGGGAGAATGGCTAAGGTTAGGTCAGGGGAAGGGGCAAAAAATAAATGTACTTAGTTTTAAAAGTTCACTTATTCTTTAAACCCCATTCATATACCTGTACAACACTTTAGTGGCACATCATCAGCCAGAGCAATTTTTTTTTTTCATGGTGTTAGATAGTAAGCAGAAGGCTTAGAACTTCTCTCGATTTTAGTATTCAGTCTGTGTTCTCATTAAGAGATATTCCCTGGGTTAGTGGAAATCTCACTAATAGAGACAATCGACTGCAATAAAAACCTGGCAGAGGTTCTAAACGCTCTTCACTTCCTGTTCTGTGTGACACTCCTCCAATACCCAGGGAGTGAGGGGAGACAGCAGTAAAAGACTTTCCACCCTATCCAGAATGTTTGAATACAGCATAGGACCTGGTCTGGTCATTGGTTATTAACTGCTAAAACACCCCGAAATCTTATTCTCCAATAAAAACAGAACCTCAGAAACCCCCCCCCCCCCCAAAACAAAACCCCTCCAGCCTCAACTTCTCTTCCAGTTCAGGATCAAATCACGATGAAGGGGGGCCCTTGGAATCCCCGAAACGCGTTTGATTTTATTTAAACAATTACAGTGAATAAAACTAAACCTGAATTGATCACATTACCTTGGCGCTCTTTTTCTGCAAATTTCCAACGCGTTATAGAACACCCTGAAATATCTGCTGGACTTTCTGACCTTTATGCAGATGCAATGTTTAAGTAATCATGTCACATCAACAGTTTAATAATTTGCTGTCTGGAGTTCTCCTTTAACTCACATATATACATGCACAATATGTTTTAAAAATGCAGCTTTCTTACCTGGAAAAGGGGACCAATGTCCACATCGAATCCAAGGTCAGCAAACCCAGTGGCAATAACCTTTGCTCCCCTATCATGGCCATCCTGCCCCATTTTTGCCACAAGCAGACGAGGTCTTCGTCCCTCTCGGTCTATGAAACATTGCACTCTAGAGTAATGAAAAAAAGCAAAAAAAAAAAACACATCAAATTATTAGTTAGATTTGTAAAACTACTACTAAACCCACCAGGACATTATTGGCAGAGCGGTTTCATGCTCTCCATGATTGTAGGAATCTCCTCTCACAATTCAGTTATACAATGGTTGGTTGAAGCCAAGCTCCACAGGAAATTTTACCAGCACCACCCAAACCCCTCCCCATACACTGCAAGGGTTTGGGGCCCAATTGTACTAGTGGTTGGAAGGCGGTAACCCCCCACCCCAAACTGCTTTCCCTTTAGGCTCCAAAGGAAGCGGCTAGGGATGTACATATACCATAGACACAATGTTTTGCTTTCTGGCAGAAATTATACCCAGTTGCATTAAGCAGCCTCCACTGCCTGCCAAATGCAACCCTTTGTGAACAAGGCTGAGCTGCAACCGGTCCACAACCATGCAGTCTTTATCGCAACCCAAAATGCTTGTAATTTGTCTAGGGTACCATGAAAGCAGTTTTACTTACCATATCCCTCGCTCCCCCAGCAGCCAAGACCTCACTCATCTCTCTAATGCTCTGGGTTGTGGGTGGACCACTGGTGTCCTCACTTACAAGGCAAGAATGCTAGTCCTGCTATCTATGTGATGACATCAGAATGTCCACTACTGCCGAAGCGTCGATGCCAAAGATGGGCAACAATTGCACGGAGAGGAGAAACCTTGTCTCTTGATTCACAGGTGTAGAAAAAAAAAAAGTGCACTTAGGGTACCCTAGACAAAAACAAGCCTTTAACCCTTTCATAGTTCTGAATTTTCTCTGGAATTCAGCTTTAGATCTAATTTATACTATAATTATGCTACAGACATTTTACTGCATTGTAAAACATCTGTCACAAGGACACACAGGAAACAATTGTTTCCTATGTGTCCCATTCACAATGCAACACAGCATATGACTGCACTACAGCGCGCTGCGATGAAATGCAGACATGCTGCACTTTATTGCTGCGAACTGTGCAAAATCATCAATGTACAGAAACACATCGCCATGAATACAGGGTATATCTTGTACACTTCAGAAAAAGTTTGCACAACACAAAAAAACAAGCACTGCTCCATACTGCGGCCAGCAATGCAGAGGCAAAGCATCCTTAAAGTGAAATTATAGCCAAAACCTTTTTTTTTTTTTTTTTTAAATTTTAACCGTAGGGAAAGATTAGAGCCCCTGCCATGTTTGTATTTGCTGTCTGAGTCCTGGTTGGTTAGAGTCACCTGGATCTTATTACCAGAAGCTGTCAGAAAGATCCAGTGTAAAAGGCATGTGCAATGGTACGTAAAATACGCACATTTATGTACATAAAGCGATTAGAAATGTATGCACATAAATGTATTCTAGAGGCTAGAATAATTATTTATTCAAGTCACTGGACTGAATTTATGTGCATACATGTGACAAGATTATACAATATAAAACACTTAAAGGGTAACTTCACTTTTGTGGGAAAAAAGAATAGCAAATAAAAAAAAATAGAACATATATAATTGCGACACAAGTCATATTGTAATTGAATGTTATTAAAAATGGCTTTTCCTTTTCAATCTGCAGCTCTGTAATTTTCTGTAAAATGCAATACAATATGGCTACCTGTAGGTGTTCTGTACACAGACATGTCACTGCTTGTGTAATTGGCTCACTGATTTTCCCAGAAGTCTGCACCAAGATAAAAATCAGATTTTGAGCATCCCCTGCAACAAAATGTCATTTTTGGTGCGATACTCTCAAAAAGGAAATCATGTCTAAAGCTAGGTTCGCACCTATGCAGCTTGCGTTTGAGCCGTTTCTGCGTTTTGCATTTTCGCACCTGCGTTTTTCCACGTCTTGCAGTTTTTAACATTTATTTTTCTTGTTGCTAGATTTAAAACGCAAAATGCATAAAAAAAACACAGCAAAAATGCATAAAAAAAAAAAAACGCACTACACGCTTTTCTGTAGCATTTCCATTAAAGTCTATAGAACCAAAATCACAACTTTTTGCGTTCAAAAAAGTCCCTGACCCTTTCCAAAAAATGCAGACGGTGAAAACGCGGAGATGTAAACGTGTCTCATAGGAAATCATGTTAAATGCACTGTACTGTGTTTCTGCAAAACACTGCGGAAAACGCTTAGGTGTGAACCTAGGGTAAAGGGTTGCAGACCCTGCCAGTGCAGCAGCTGATAGATAATTATGAACCACTCCCATACAGATTCCTTCTGCCCATGGACACAGGTACACAAACCGCTATTTCTTCAGAACAACAAAACGAAGGAATCTGCAACGTTTGTCAAAATCCTTGCAGTGTACATAGATCACCAAGAACGGGAATGTTTTTTTCCCATCACAAGTAGAGTTACTCTTTAAGAGGAAGCCTTAAAATGAACATACACCACGTGTGTTGGAAACATCTAAAGCAGTGTTTGCCTATTCGTACGTAAAGATAGGCATGCACATCCGGTAAGTGTGTTCTCTAAAAAGTGGTGGAGAACACACTGGTGACAAGATTTATTGTTTTAAAGAAGTTATGTTGTGATGGAAATGTTTAGATCATCCACTGTTGGACTGTTATTTTTTTTTATATTGAATTTTGTAAAAAATAATTTTTCAGTGTATGCACCACTGGACTGTTACTTTGTGCAAAAAATGATATGCATCTAATTTGTGCAAAGAATGATTTATTTCAAATTTTGTGTACACATTGGGATTGAGAAGGGTAATATATTTTAATTATTGAATACAAAAAATGAGTATTACTGAAATGAATTGGATGGGAAGAGGATATCATTACAAAGATTTTATTTCTCCACCATAAAATCTTGTGCTTTTCACGTGTATCTGGAGCATTGCTATTCTGAGATCAGAAGAAATGACCTCTGCAGATGGTGGACACGCTGCACATACTGAAAAAAACTAGCAGAAAGCTGGGTCTGCCAGTCGCAGCTCTCATCGGGTCTCACAGCCACAGGCGCCTGAGGCGGAAGTAAGCCGGCTTACATATAGGATCTGACACAAAATTCACACTGCATTCCATAATAAAACTATTATTTGTGATATCTGGAAGAGAGACTTTTAATACTGAGAATATTATAGTTTTATGTGTATAATTGGAAATAGTAAAGCAAAGTGTTCTGTGCGTCTAAAAGAAAAGAAACACAAAAATGTAATACTAAGATGGGATATGATTTTAATCCTCGCAGTTCACCATAAGGGGAATGGAGTCTGTCAACCTTGCAACAAAGCTGCTGTAAGGGCCAGTCCCCATGATTCTATATTCACTTTAATCTAACCCAAGGATTGACTCCAACACTTAAATCTGTACTCCAGCCTTACCCTCAGTCTTCTCCAGTACTGAAATTACTTGATTTCACTGCACATTGTGAGTGACATGTAGTGTGCATTGGAAGCTGCAGCACGTCAGACACAGACACCTTATTTACTGGCTGGAGGAAGTCCAGCATCATCTAGATCAGGGGTCTCCAAACTTTGTAAACAAAGGGCCAGTTTACTATCCTTCAGACTTGGGGGGGGGGGAGCAAGACTGGTCAAAGGGAATAGAAAATGCCCCAGTGTCAGTGGGAGTAAACAGTGCTACAGGCTTGACAGTTAGTGGCAATAAGACTACATGTACACTGTTCTCATGATTACTGACACTCCACGAGGTGAGATCTTGCATGGTGCACCAGACCTAGGGAGATTGACAGTTGTTTTGTGTTTTTTTCCATTTGCTAATGATTGCACCAACTGTTGTCACCTTCTCGCCAAGCTGCTTGGCGATAGTTTGGTAGCCCAGTCCAGCCTTGTGTAGGTCTACAATCTTGTCCCTGACATCCTTGGACAGCTCTTTGGTCTTTGCCATGGTGGAGAGTTTGGAATCTGATTGTTTGATTGCTCCTGTGGACAGGTGTCTTTTACAGAGGTAACAAAATGAGATTAGCAGCACTCCCTTTAAGAGACTGCTTCTAATCTCAGCTTGTTACCTGTATGAAAGACACCTGGTAGCCAGAATTCCTGATGAATGATAGGGGATCAAATACTTATTTCCCTCATGAACATGCAAATCAGTGCATCATTTGTTATACATGCATTTCTTTTGAATTTGTTGTTGCTATTCTGTCTCTCAGTGTTACAATACACTTACCATTCAATTTTTAGACTGATCATTTCTTTGTGAGAGGGCAAACATTCAAAATCAGCAGGGGATCAAATACACATTTCCTTCACTGTATGTGTGCATGGTCACATAGGCTTTTATGGAGTTGGGTTTAGGGGCTTTGGAAAAAAAAAAAGCTCCTAAATTAACGTTCAGGAGAGCAGCAATGTCCTATGGTTCATGTCCGTGGGCGGAACAGAGCCTCCTGCCAGGCGTCCGTGGGCGGAAACAGAGCCTCCTGCCAGGCGTCCGTGGGCGGAACAGAGCCTCCTGCCAGGCGTCCGTGGGCGGAACAGAGCCTCCTGCCAGGCGTCCGTGGGCGGAACAGAGCCTCCTGCCAGGCGTCCGTGGGCGGAAACAGAGCCTCCTGCCAGGCGTCCGTGGGCGGAACAGAGCCTCCTGCCAGGCGTCCGTGGGCGGAACAGAGCCTGCCAGGCGTCCTGGGCGGAACAGAGGCGGCGTCCGTGGGCGGAACAGAGCCTCCTGCCAGGCGTCGTCCGTGGGCGGAACAGAGCCTCCTGCCAGGCGTCCGTGGGCGGAACAGAGCCTCCTGCCAGGCGTCCGTGGGCGGAACAGAGCCTCCTGCCAGGCGTCCGTGGGCGGAACAGAGCCTCCTGGCCAGGCGTCCGTGGGCGGAACAGAGCCTCCTGGCAGGCGTCCGTGGGCGGAACAGAGCCTCCTGGCAGGCGTCCGTGGGCGGAACAGAGCCTCCTGGCAGGCGTCCGTGGGCGGAACAGAGCCTCCTGGCAGGCGTCCGTGGGCGGAACAGAGCCTCCTGGCAGGCGTCCGTGGGCGGAACAGAGCCTCCTGGCAGGCGTCCGTGGGAGGAACAGAGCCTCCTGGCAGGCGTCCGTGGAGGAACAGAGCCTCCTGGCAGGCGTCCGTGGGAGGAACAGAGCCTCCTGGCAGGCGTCCGTGGGAGGAACAGAGCCTCCTGGCAGGCGTCCGTGGGAGGAACAGAGCCTCCTGGCAGGCGTCCGTGGGAGGAACAGAGCCTCCTGGCAGGCGTCCGTGGGAGGAACAGAGCCTCCTGGCAGGCGTCCGTGGGAGGAACAGAGCCTCCTGGCAGGCGTCCGTGGGAGGAACAGAGCCTCCTGGCAGGCGTCCGTGGGAGGAACAGAGCCTCCTGGCAGGCGTCCGTGGGAGGAACAGAGCCTCCTGGCAGGCGTCCGTGGGAGGAACAGAGCCTCCTGGCAGGCGTCCGTGGGAGGAACAGAGCCTCCTGGCAGGCGTCCGTGGGAGGAACAGAGCCTCCTGGCAGGCGTCCGTGGGAGGAACAGAGCCTCCTGGCAGGCGTCCTGGCAGGCGTCCGTGGGAGGAACAGAGCCTCCTGGCAGGCGTCCGTGGGAGGAACAGAGCCTCCTGGCAGGCGTCCGTGGGAGGAACAGAGCCTCCTGGCAGGCGTCCGTGGGAGGAACAGAGCCTCCTGGCAGGCGTCCGTGGGAGGAAACAGAGCCTCCTGGCAGGCGTCCGTGGGAGGAACAGAGCCTCCTGGCAGGCGTCCGTGGGAGGAACAGAGCCTCCTGGCAGGCGTCCGTGGGAGGAACAGAGCCTCCTGGCAGGCGTCCGTGGGAGGAACAGAGCCTCCTGGTATGCGTCAGTGGGAGGAACAGAGCCTCCTGGTATGCGTCAGTGGGAGGAACAGAGCCCCATGGTATGCGTCAGTGGAAGGAAGACATGCAGACCCTAAGGTCAGTGTCAATGAAAGGGATAACAGCTCATAGTCAGTGTCAGTGTAAGAAATAGCGCCCCATTGTTGGTGTCAGTGAAAGCAATAATGCCCCATTGTTGGTGTCAGTGAAAGCAATAGTGCCCCATTGATGGTGAGGAATACTGCCTCATATCAGTGGGTTGAGAAGTGCTCCAAGGCTACAGGCAAGTAAACGGGCATATCTGGCACGTGAGCCACAGTTTGGAGACTGCCGATCTAGATCTTTTCTCCCCAGCGTGACAGTCCCTGGTCTGCTCCTTTCATTGATTGAAGTTCTTTCATTCATGGAGATTCAGCATCAAGTATGGCCATTAGCTAGTTTGCATGCAAATGTCATCTGCCTAGGAATGCCCAGTCTTTCAGTCTGACATCCACTCCCCAAGGCATTCTGATATTTGCATAACTCCTCCAAAGTGCCAAGTCCTTGTGCTGAGGGATCTGGAGAAGAGTACTGAGGCAGAGTGCTGTGATGCTTTCAGGAAGCCAAGTACAGCACCCTGCTGGCCCCTTCCACCAGTTATGATCTCTCTGCATAGCATAGAGAAGCACATACCTAAACTCAGGTATGTAATGGAAAGAGAAGGATTTTATTAAAACATTTTATTAGCATGTTGATGAGGGCGGAAAGGAGGAAATCGGGGAAAGCAATTTAGGGTCCTTCACTGACCCCCAGTGTTCTCGGGCCCTTCACTGACCATTAACACCAGATGCAGTGGGGCTGTGCTGGGTAGTTATTCCAGTGCAGTCCTACCACATGACAATGCTAAATGCCTTGTCTCCTGTGTGCCTGATTCATACCGCTGCATTGTGGTGGTGTGCGGGCACTATGCGCTTAAAGACTAATGCATGCACTACTTTTTTTCAGCTCACCGCAGCATAGCTCAAGGTAATGTCTCACAAGAAGCCCCCTACGCAACTCATTATCCTCTGCATAGTACATAACAGCACTCTTTTTTCAAATGATGCTCCTCCTCCCATTACACATGCAGCTTTGAGAGAACTTGCCACAAAAAAACTGGCCCCTTGATCCCCCTCTGTCCTCACATTCAGTAAGTTCAGTGGCAAAGTGATTTCTTACCTTGATGGTCAGTGAAGCTCTGGTGGCCAGTAAAGGGCCCTAGCACACTGGTGACCATTAAAGGGCCCTAGCACACCGGCGGCCAGTAAAGGGCCCTAGCACACCGGCGGCCAGTAAAGGGCCCTAGCACACCGGCGGCCAGTAAAGGGCCCTAGCACACACCGGCGGCCAGTAAAGGGCCCTAGCACACCGGCGGCCAGTAAAGGGCCCTAGCACAATGGTGACCAGTGGGAAGAATGCCCCTTTACAGATACCTGAAAAGATCATTGGTGTCTGTGGAAGCTTATAAGGAAGTCAGAAATTGCTCTTTGCTCTGGGAACCCCTAGTCACCTCTGGAGGAAGCCTAGCTGAGTAAAGCTGCTCCACATAAATAAATCACTATAAAAGCAAATCTTAGTATTGAACACACAGAGAAGTTTTACCTTTTTAAAGTGAAAGATATTTCTTCACTCTCTCCAAACTCCTGGCGGTAAGCTCCACTCACCATTCGATCACTGGCCTTGTGTTCTCCAAACACCTTCTTCATTGCGTCTGTAATTTCTCCCACAGTGCACCTGGGCAATAGAATACAAATCATAGTTTATTCTAGAACACTGCCATAAAGGGGGAAAAGCAGGAATTCAAAAGGCAAATATTTTCCACATCAGACACCTATCCTTGAGAAACCACATGAAGAAGATGGCTAATTGGGTAGGTTGGATTTTTCACAAAGCACAACATTGCCCCCCCTATCAGTATTAATGAATTTAAAGTCCAACACAAACCGTTGCCCACACAAAAGGTTTTCACCATCAAAAACAGTAAACAGAAACAAATAATGCCAAGCCACCTGGCTTCTTCACTTTGCAGCACTGCTGCTTAGGCCTCAGACCTTGACCTTTGGCTTTTGTCTGGCCCTTTAGACTATTTTACCCAGTACTTCTCTGTTTCTGTACTCCCTTCTCAGCTCATGCAGCTCTCCTGTGTCAATCTTTTTAGGGCCTCTGCCCGATCCTCTCTTTAGAGGATCTCTTGGCAACCCAGGCTCTCCTAGTCCTATGAGACTTCTAGGTTCCCTCTGTCTTCTGGACTCACCTCAACTCTCTTAGTTTTTCAGATTCGCTTAGCCACCTCAACTCTCTCAGTACTCTGTACAAGAAACCTCCTGTCTCAAGCATGAAGAACTGTCTCCTGAGCAAAGTCTCCAAATGGGAGCCCTGACTTGTCAGGCCTTTGTTTATAAGGGCCTTTTTAAAGGGATAGAACATGGGGAAAACGTGCAGGTATTGCATGGGGTATAAGGATTTATTTTTAGCCATTTTAAAAGAGGGATCCTTCAGGTGGTAGATGCTGAAAGTACCCTACATGTGAAAGAACCCTACAGCCAACAAACCCCTATGGCTTGTTTAAAGTGTATCTATAGCCTAATTTTATTCTGGATTCAGTACAGGGTGGTAAGGAACCCTGGCAGTTTTCTTCCCAGTCTGAGTGGATCTCAGATAGTCTTGGATGTTGAAGACAAGGTCAACAGGCCAGTTCGAAAAGTATCCTTCTTGGACAATTATTTTGCATAGGGACTATCTACTAAAAAAAAACAAAAAACAAAAAACAAAGTATTCCTGTGACTGAAGTACATGGAAACCCCGAGACTGTTTACTGTAATTTTTCATGGCTCATCACTAAAACAGTCTTGTGATAATCACATGAAGCTTCAACCATCCAACTCGAACCATCAACATGCTCTCAGTTGCACGTAGTATCATAAAATTATCAAGAGAATGGGAAAGTAAGGCATCAAACTGCATATTAAATGTTCCACAGTGACACATGATGCAGTCCCAGACTGGCTCCTCCCACCAGTAAGGTTCTTAGTGATATTGCTAAGTTTACAATAGCAAAGTCTCATTGATACTGTAAGAATAGGTTTAGACATGTGTAAAATCTCCCCTGCTTCTCAAGCCTGATCCGTGTTTGGACTGCGCTCCAAAGGCTAGACAGGCAGTGAGAAAGTGGTGTGATGCCTCCTCACCACCTGTTTATGCTGACAATTGCGCCGAAACCGCAAGTATTGCATGCGTTTGTGGGGCGTTTACTTGAATGTGTAGCGTTCAGCAGAATTGTCGCCCACCGATCACTACATGTTAGGTGAACTTTGCTGCGAGTGAGAAGTGAAGCATCGAAGCCAAGCATGTAAATATCGTCAGCTGCCAATTGCAGCTTGGCGGGGGTTTGGGCGGGTGGCAATCATGCGCAGTTGAGCAAAAGGGAGCCAACAGTGATGTTTACATACTACGGCTGCAACCAAAAGTAGCTCTAAACTAAGTCTAAAAGTCAAAGGACATAAAAAGCATATTTCAACCCAATCACCAACATCTCATAAAAGCGTTGACACATTAAGGTAACTTCAAAGGAAAATTGTCAAGGTTTTTAATTCGAAGCTTTCAATAAAATAATACTTGTGATCCTGCCATTAAAGTGGCTTTAAGGCTAAAAGTTTTTTTACCTCAACACATTCTCTGCATTAAGGCAAAAAAAAATCTTCTGTGATCACTTCACCCTCACCCCCCACAGCTCTCCTTGTAAACTTACTGGAGCCCCATCTCAATCCAGCGCTGTGCCCGAGAGCAGCGGCTCTCTCCGCTCTCTCTCCTCAGTGGACATAGAGGCTGCAGTGGAACCACTAGCTCTTGCTGCTGTCAACTAAATCCTGTGAGAAGGAAGTGGGGGCGGGGCCAAGCCGCGCTGTGTATGTCAAAAGACACACACAGCCCGGCTTGGGAATGCGTCTGCATGAGTACCCTCCATTGCTTCCTATTGGGGCACTTGGAAAGGAGGAGGAGCCAAGAGCGCCAGCAGGGGACCCCAGAAGAAGAGGTTCAGGGCTGCTCTGTGCAAAATAATTGCACAGAGTGGGTAAGTATATTTTTTTTATTAGAAAAAACTTTTACAATCATTTTAAGGTTCTTATTCAGACATTTCCTGCTGTAGAATGACAGTGTTCTGTCCCTGTCTTCTGTGGTGCTAATCTGTTACACAGGCTTCTGATAGAGACAGCAAGTGGCAATATATACACATTACGCAGACTGCTGTTGTCCATGGTTGTCATCATCAGAAAGTCTGCTCTCAGAAATGCCATAAAGCCAAAAAAAAAAAAGAAAAAAAAAAATAGAAAAGGTAATTGTTTATAATTGAAAGGACTCAATTCGCACAGGCGTTTAGCCATGCTGTGAATACCAGTGGCAGAATTGGATTCCTGTTGCTGGGCTTGACAGCTGTGTGCTGATAGATGCGGCCACTGAGCCCCTACACTGCAATGACAGGCTCTTGGCGGCTGCTGCCACACAAAGTGCATCCAGCCGCAGTTATCACAAGTAATAGCTGGCTGTGCGAACAATCATGAATACCCTGCAGCTGTTAAACCCAGGACAAATAAAATCATTAGATTTTTGCCACTGGGATTCATACTGTAGCTAAATGCTGGGGTAAATGGAGCCTTACAGCGACACTACTCTGGTTAAAAAAAATATATATTCATGTATGTATTTTTAACTAAATAAAAAAAAAAAAAAGTATATTTTACTGCTCCTAGCTTCCTCCAAACCTCCATTTTTTTTTTTTTGGCTGAGATCTGACTTCCTGTTGGAGGCTGGCTACAATCAGTCTCCATGGTCCTACTATATGTAGGAATGTAGCCACTCTCTCTTACTCACTCTCAGATGGACTCACTTTTACTCACTTTTCACTTTTTTGGTGAATGGAGTATCCATACTCATTCATTCACATGGGGGAGGGGCTGGGATCTGGGGGCTTACAGATTCCAATAAGTCACCCCATGCATCCCCACAACCACCAGGCCAGGGTTATGGGGAAGAGGCCTTTGTCCTCATCAACATTGGGACAAGGTGTCTTGGGGGGGGGGGGTATCCCCTAACCCAATCCCCCCCCCCTGTGTTTAATTTCATAAATTAATTTGAAATTTTTATTCCAGAGCTTTCACAATAACAAATGTGGTATCTACCTGACGCATCACCTTTTTATTTTTATCAACACAATTGGGCATTATATTGTGTTTTTGTGCACTACAATTCATTTAAGTGTATGTTTCCTGAAAAAAATTGTGTTTGCACAAATATTGTGCAACATAAAAAGTTGCAACCATTTTATTCTCCAGGGCCCCTGTTTTCAGAAAATACAGAATATTTGGGAGTTCTCTGTAATTTTCTGGCATAAAATACAGTTTTTAACATGTATAGAAAAAAAATGTGTTTAGGGGTGATGATCAGTGATTTCACAGTGTAGCAAAGCATGCAACTTAACCATTTGCCTTCCAGAGGATTTACCCCATTCCTGACCAGAGAATTTTTTGCAATAGGGCGCTGCGTTACTTTAACTGACAATTGCGTGGTCATGCAATGCTGTACATAAATGAAATTTGTGTCCTTTTTTCCCCCCAAATAGAGCTTTCTTTTGTTGGTATTTGATCACCTGTGCATTTTATATTTTTTGCCCTATAAACAAAAAAAGACTGGCAATTTTGCAGAAAAAAAACAACAGTATTTTTGACTGTTTGTTATAAAACATATCCAGTAAAGAAAAAAAAAAAAAAAAAAAAAAAAAATTAAAAATAAATTTAGACCAAATTTTATTCTGCTATGTCTTTGCTAAAAAAAAAAAAAAAAAAAAAAATCCAATACATGTAAATTAATTGGTCTACATGAAAGCTATAGCGTCTACAAATGGCTATGTATATATACTGGAATGTTTATTTTTATTATACTAGTAATGGCGGCTATCAGTGACTTATAGTGGGACTGCGGCGAGCATTGAGACACTGGGTGGGAACTGCCACTGACATACCAATGACACTAATACACTGATCAGTGCTAATAAAAAGCACTGACAGTGTACTAATGAAACTGGGCAGGAAGGGGCTAACATCTGGGGCGATCAAGGGGTAAACTGCGAGCTGTTTTACTGTATGTCCTGTATGTGTTTTACTAGGGAAACATGCTGCTGTGTATTTCTCTGCTGTGCAGAGAAATACACAGCAGCATGTTATTGCTGGCAGGAGAGAGACCTGTGTTATTTACACATAGGTCTCTCCCCGACGATCGCTGGGTACCGGTGGGGAATCTCCTACCGGGACCCGGTGACCAACATCTGTAGCCGCCAATGCCGGTGCGGGTAGGGCGGTGCATATATACGTGATTTTACGCAGCCCTACTGCATAGTTTCTGCTATAGGGCAGTGGGGAAGCGGTTAAACCTGAAAAAGTGATACATAAAGCATTAATGACAGCAGTCTGCTGATCCCTCTGTGTGCAAACAGCGTAATAACAACACCGTCAGCTTTTACACGTAAAAGAAGCCTACAGATACATCACACCATTTACATTTCTTCTGCCTGTCAGCATAACATGTTGAGTAATGGAAATCATGTATAACTGACATAAGAGGTAATGTGGAGACACATCTGGGGTAAAAATTATTCAAATGACAGCTCAATCACTGCCCCCTCTACTAGTGTATATAGGCTATAAGGCCTGTCACACGTGCTTATCTAAGGCCTTGTTCACGTAGGCACATCTAAGTGTACACC